TCAAACTGCCAACCTTCTGACCTTACGATCGTCAGAATTAGCGTCTTAACTACTAAGCCACCACATCCCTACATACATCATTACATATATGATTGCATACAGATGTTGAAATTGCTACATAAATTGCTTTCTATAAACAAAAACATTACCTTTGCCTCTTAATTATCCTGTACATATAAATAGATTTTTATTTGTTGTTCTGGACATTTTATCTTCCTCGTAGAATGCCTTAATGTTTTCTCATTGTGGATGCCTATAGACACAGTTATTCATCTTCAAACTAAACTTGACGCGGTAAGTTATACATTAGTTTTCTGAGGCTGGAGTTAGTACCGTTGGAGAAATCTCAGGAACAGTTCATAATAGCTTTTACATCATACTGTATTACCTTGTAACATGTTTTTAGTGGTTATCTGTTTTATATAAGGCCTTGGATGTATCTGTTCCACAACTATACCCTTTCTGTCCTAAGTGCTAATAGCATAGTTGCTCAGGGAAACCTTGCCTATGGATTCAATTTCCGGATGGTCACATGCTCTCTTGTCAAAATATTTTCATTTCAGCTTCTGAATCTGATTAATCTTTTCTATGCTGTCAGTGGTGTTAGATCTAACTAGCTTGAATGGTGTCACCTTTAAGTAGCTCCAGTGTATCTTTCCATTAAGAATTGGACAGAGAAACAACCAGGTTTCAGTGGGGTACTTTTGTAAATGAGTAGAGATTTGTATGTATTCCCACCACTGTTACTGGCTTTCTTTGTCATATTTTGACAATCTGAACAGAACTTTTTACAAGCAAATTTGATTAAGGAGAATACAACCAAATCCAAAAAATACATCACAATGAAATCTTTATTAGGCCAACCAAAAGGCACAAAGTACATTATGATAGCTTTTAAAGCTGGCTTTCTTCTTCATTAGGTGAGGATGTTAAAACGTCCTTTGTGCTTACGTTATTATTCACATGAATACCTGAAATTTTCTGTTGCTATTAATGGAGATAAAATGTACTACTTTGCTTTTACAGCCCTTTGTCATCCATCCCCATGTGGTGAAGAAGGCATGTGGCCTCTGCCTGCATCACAATTCCCAACTGTCCTGATTTGCAGGAACAGTCCTGATTAATCCTCTGTCATCCAACATTTACAGTTGCTTTGAAAAATATTCCTTTTTCTCCCCCTCTTCTCACCTTTCCCTTTTGTCCTCAGCTTATTTCAATTGCTATAGACTGAGTTCGAAGTACAAAAGTAGTTTGTACTCAATTAACTCAGTGGGAGCGAAGATAGAGGGAGTGTAATCCTGCTCTTCCCAGTAGATTCAGGCAAAAGCAAACGGCTGCATCTTTACCACACTCTCATGTTGCTTGACCACAAGCATTCTTGCCTGATGAAGAAGCCAATGAGCTTCAAATGTATTTTGTGTCTTTTGGTTGACCCAATAAAGGTATCATTGTGATGTATTTTGGCTTTTGTTGGATTTTGCTAAATTTATTTTCTTGACTGAGGAGAGAGAGAGTCAGATCATGGTTGCAATCTAACATTCCCTTAGCATACCATAAATATCCACACAAGGAGATACACTATGGGAGCAGCCCCATTCAGAATAGCAATATTGTGCAACATGTGAATGACTAGATGCCATTGTACAATACACAATACATGAGGCACAACCACAATGCAAAGTATAGGAAGGACAACTGCAATGCAAAGTATGGGATGCACAACTAAACATGCAACATATTTTCCAGCGTATAAGACGACTGGGTGTTTTCCAGTTAAAATATAGTTTCC